AAAAGGGCTGGCAAAATCACGCAGGACCCCTCACCTCCAGCACACTCCCTCTTTGAACTGTTGCCATCTGGTCGACGCTACAGAGCTCTGAGCACCAGAACGGCCAGACACAGGACCAGTTTCTTCCCTCAGGCAATCCATCTCATGAACACTTGACAATAACTGTGGAACACACAACACTATTTATACACTCATACACGTATTTATCTAACACACACACTTAGTCTACACCTCAAATTTGCACATAATATAATATACCTGTACATACAAAACTGTCTATTGTAATATACCTGCACATACAATTGTCAATTTGTAAATTGTTATTCCTTATTTATTTGTTCTATATTTTCTGTGTTTTTGTTCTGTCGCTGTCATTCTGTTGCACTGCGGAAGCTTCTGTCACGAAAACAAATTCCTCGTATGTGTAAACATACCTGGCAATAAAGCTCATTCTGATTCTCATGTTGTTCCAAACCTACAAGACGTTTGTTCCTCTTCTGAACATAAATTCAGATATTTTTGATTAAATCTGAGTGCTTTCTGACCCTCCATAGACAGCAAGTGTCCTACCACATTTAAGGCCCAGAAGAGTACCAAGAATATTGACAAAATAGCCCATGTGACATGAGTGGTTCAACAGTAATTTTATGATGCTATTAAAATACTTTTTTTTTGTCCACAAAATACTAAAATTTAGTTTAGTAGAAACAACTTTTTTCAACAACTGTTGTTGTCTGAGTTATCTGCTATTATAGAGAGGCATGTGGTGCTGCTGATGTAGAACATGGCTTGTTTACGAGCAGAGGAAAGCATGTGCATGTGTCATGGTCTTGTTGATAATGGTGGAAGATGTTGAACCAGTCATGTATCATGGACTATTTTTTGATGTTGTTGGTATTTTTCTGGGCCTTGAATGTGGTAGGACACTTGCTGTCTATGGAGGGTCAGAAAGCGGTTTTCAGTAAGCGGATTTTATCAAAAACGTTAATTTGAATGTTTCCTGAAGATAAACTAATGTCTTACAGGTTTGAGATTTGAAATGACATAAGGGCGAGTAATTAATCACAGAATTTTCATTTTTGGGTGAAGTATACCTTTTAGACGTATCGTTGTATAGTTGTGTATGCTATGCGGTTGCGTTGCACTTTATTCTGTAGTGTTGTTGAGGGAAGTAGATGAGTTATGTTTAGACGAAAGTATGCAAGTTTAGGAAGGTTTAAATTTGGTGTAATATGATCATTACAATTAATAGTGTACATGAACAAAAAGTTCATGACTGTGCATGAATGCACTAGATGTTGGGAAAAAAAATTAAATGGGAGTTGAATGTTTGGTAGTGCTAAAAACATTTTGATATGATACATACCTTTTGATTAGGTGGCATTGTTTTAATTTGAGCTATTATAAGTCCAGCACATTGTTGAGGTGGTTTGTGTGGGAAGGTGACTTCTGTGACGTCAATTGTGCTGTCACGATTGACGATGACGTCACATGTTTTGTCATCCGTCTGGCCTGCAAAGTTGAAAACAAAACAAAAAACATGATAAAAAAAAAGTAGTAATATAATATAAAAGTAGTAATATATTTTGTGAATGTAAATATACATGAACAGTATGTTATTATGTTAAAGAGTTGTTTTTTCACTATTTAAAGTGTTACATATGTGTATAAACATGTTGATGAGCCTCTCTGTTGACATCTGCACTGTAAACTTCGTATTGAATTGTTGCTTATAAATAGTAGATATGTGAAATTTACAGTGACTTTGACTGACTTTTAGCCAAAAACAGATTTAGTTTTATCCACTTTAAAAACATAGTAGTGTGATGTTTCTAATATCATCAATTTTTGTTTATAAAATAGTTTGAGAAAACAGATGCCCATAATATGAATTAAATTTAAACTTAAAAGATTTGTAAAAGATCCTAAATAAAGTTGTACAAAATCAATAAAAATGTGCAGAAATTGTGATTTAAGGATATTTATATTAAATCACATTTTCCTTCGGAACTATTTACTTTGAGCTCATTTTAATGAAAATCACAACATTTGTACAAATCTTTTTTATTTGAATAGTTAGTTTTGTAAAATCAGTTGTGTGGTACAATAAGAGTAAGGAGGGAGCTTTGTGAATGGTAAAGTTGTAAAAATAGCTTTTTAATACGTTTTAAAATTACTACTGTTGACAAACAATAACAACTGTAAGAAAGATAAAATGAAATGAAAGTGACTGCTGAAGAAAGAGGAAATTGAGTACTTATTTTTTCCGTGGCATTGTTAATCTTGACAGGTGTTTTGTTTCTTGCAGCCAGTGTTAATTGGTTGTGTTTCTCCGGCGAAAATACCACAGTGTTGTGGTATTGATGTCTGTCTATTTGAATTATAGCATTGAAGTACCGATGATTTTTTTGAGACATTTTAACAGGCGACACTGAAAGCAAGTAGCCTGTAACTGTCTGTGGAGGTTCATTCTTGTTAGCTTCTTTGGAATTCATCGTGTTGAAGTGATGATAGTAGTCACTGTGTAAGTGTTATTGACTGAAGTTGGTGAATACAAGGAGTCCTTATAAAGCTGAAAATGAAGAGGCACATATCAGAACCAGGTAGTTGTTCATAGTGCTCCATCATCACCAACATGTTAAGGAAATGACACAGAGCTGTAGCAAGAATTGACAATGTGTTTTTAAAATAATTATTAATATAATAAACAAGTAATTTTAAAAAGTAACAGAAGATGGCTGTCAGAAATTATTTAGGGTATATAAAGAGTAGAAATTAATAGAGTATACTGAAATGGATATAGTCTACTGAAAATAGTTGTAAATGAAGTTGCTGTTGGGTAGTGAGCTATATGAACCTCGTGGATGAGTGATGGCGAAATCACAGAGTAGGCCTATAGTGACAGTCTTTTCAAATGCTCTGACGGCAATCAAACATGGACACTACAATAAGAAATGATTTTGTTTCATACAGTTATTGATGGTTAATGTATAACGTTAGTTGTGTATGAATTTTAAGACCAAGCGGTTATTTTATTGTTTATACCATCTTTTAAAACAATAGTACGATCCTAAATGACTAGGATTTATTGTTTATTGTTTATATTAATTTAATCACTAAACTACAACAATAACCAAGATATGTCTTGCCTGCAACTTTGGAGTGAGATATTACGTACGTCTTCCTCTTGTTTTAGGTGGAAGTCATTGTTTCCATCATCTGCTATGGAGCGTGAAACCTTAGGATGCGAGTAATTATGACAAAAGACATCAGATTAAACTCAGAAAAACTGATTAATGCATTCTGTCCACAGTCTCCACAAAATGGTGAATGTAGGCTAGTCAGCATCGGCTTTGCCTGTACGTGTAGTGAAATAGGCTTATATCGTTTAAAAAAAATCTTTAATACACTTCTAAATGATTGTTTTGGTATATTATTTAAAGAGTAAAACACAACAACAGTGAATAATCCAACTATAGCTCTTACCTGCACGTCTGTTGTAAGATATTATTCTTGTTCCTTGTAGGTGTAATTGCGCCATTAATTAGGCAAGAAAATTCTGTTTAGATGAGATTTTCGCCATCTAGTGGTATGGAATGTGTAGCATTTTGGTTAGACTGATCATAAAACTAGGCTATAAAATTGAATACATATACTATATTTGATAACAGTCTTTTAAAAAACGTATTGAAAAAATTACAAATTACAAATCCAACTTGTGTACTTCAAATAAGCAAACAGCCACAACAGAACTAATGTTGATAGAATTAGCATTTTATGCAGAGCACTCCAAAACACGACTTCATTTGCTGTTATAAAACTTTTCAGTAATAGATGGCACTACAGTAAATGTATAAGCCCTTTTTGTTACACATGATTTCCTTACATTTTAAGTTGTTATAAGTTTACTTATATGGTGAAATCTTAAATTATATTAAAAGATATGGAAGTGTTGTAATTTGCAGAAGCTATCAGTAATTTAAGGTTCTCATAATGCAGGTCAAACACCACAGCTTTGCACGGTTTAGCTCCAACCCTAATAAAACACACCTGATCCAGCCAATCAAGGTTTTCAGGATTACTAGAAACTTCCAAGCAGGTGTGTTTTGGAGCTGGTTGGAGCTAAACTGTGCAGAGCTGTGATCCTCCAGAGACCAATGCAGTATACATTTATAGACACGTACAGACATTTTGTTGTAGATAAAAAGTGTTTGAATTAAACGATAGTAATGCTTACTTAAAACATTTTGTTCAGATTTCACTATAATGATAATGGATTTTTATAAGACCATCCACTAGAGGGTGCTTGTGTTATTGTCAGAGAGAACGTTTTCCTGTTTTGCCTGGAAGGGACCCTTACAAAAATATCCTGCAGGAATTCCTGAAGGAATGCTGCTTTCTGTGCAGGGATCATGCAGGAATCCTGCAGGACAGAACTAAATTACAGTAAGTTTATCCTGCAGGAATAGTGGCCTGTTTATATTGTATTTTAGTCTACAGTGTTTAAAACATGGACACAAGTACTTACCTGCAATTATATAATTTACTAACAAAAAATGTAATAAAATTTTCATAATAAAAATTTCACTGATATCTAAAACAAACAAGTTGTTCACATATCACAGTATAAGGTTTAGTATTACTTGCACTTTTATTTCACAGTGGATTTGATATATTGTATTGTACAGAATTTTTCATTCTTCCCACATTCATGTACTGTATATATTCATGTAAAATAATTTCATACATGCATTCATTGTATCACACATTAACTGTACATATTATAAATAACTACATAACTGGAAATATATAACAAAACTGTAAATATTGAAAAATGTTATATACAGATTACATATATACAAATTAAAAATATTATTTGTCAATGTTTAATAAAAATGCATATTGCAAAAATTAATAATCTACTGTTGTACAATACAATCATGCCAAGAATTAAATCCACAGTGCACTACTTTAGCAAACAATACACTAAATAGACTGTGTAATCAACAACCAAAGCCATCAACAGACCAATACAACGCGTTTTACATACTGAATAGACTTAAACATGCAAAACCACAAGAAGTGTGACCTCAAAGTCATACAGTAACCGTAGTGTACTTGCTAAAATAAAGTTATAACTTATAAATAAACAATTGTCTGTTTCTCAGGAGATCAAAGTATCTGAGTTTCCTGAGGTTCTTTTAACCTTACAATATGAATCAATGCATCAATAACATGACAATCGATACAATGTATTGATGCACAGCGTAAAAAATAGATACCTGTATTATATATCCAGGGCTCTACACTGCACATTTGCCACTACAAATTACTGTGTGTAAGAAAAAGTGATGAGGACGTTGAAGATCTTGATGAAGATGTTTATTGCAGCATAGCAGTGACAAAGTACATGTTGCACCTTAGGTTCAACGGAGTCTGAATGAACCCCGAACATCCTAAACTCAAACCTTTTCTACAGTTACAGTTTACCACCCTTAATGTAAATGAAGTTGCTCCTGTTGTAACAGCTGTAGTCTGTATGTTAATTAAGTTCTGACACCCCTTTGTCTGAGGTGGTTCTCAGTGTCCCACACCTGTGCGACTGTGGAAAAATTTTTTTAGACTCACCGGTGTGACCTGACAAATTAATTATTAGAATCTTTGTGTCCCTTTTTCTTTTATTTTTTTCCTTTTTTTATATTGATGCTTTGCTTTTTTGTTGTTGCAGATGGAGATGCTGCAGAGGAGGTGGATGGTGGGGACAAAATTAAAGTCACCCTTGAGGATGTACTTGTGTTTGCTTCCGGGGCATCTGCCATACCTGTATTTGGATTCAAGGAGAATCCAAATATCACATTTCTTCATGAGAACCTAAATGGCAACCGGCGGATGTTCCCAGAAGCAAACACATGCACCATCACATTGAAGTTGCCCATTGGTCAGGAATACGAAGAGTTTTGTCATTTTATGACATCTGGTATTGTGCAATCTCCAACGTTTGGGGTAGCTTAAAAAACTCCAAAACCTGATCACTCTTGATATGCAATGGATTGCTGTTCTTTTTTGCTTTTATTTTATTTTTTATGTTTTTTTTATTATTTCTTTGTGTGTTTGTTTAGAGTACTGTTTAGTCATGTTAGAAATGTTACAATGTTCATTACTGTCACATATACAGTTCGGGGAGAGAATATACAGTTCGAAGTAGAGACCTGCGCGGGACGGATTTTTCAGTCCCGCAAGATTCTGT